GGCTGACAAACGAACCGTGTAAAAAAAAAAAGAAAAAAAAAAAAAGAAAAAGAAAAAAAAAAACCCGACTGTTTTCGATTATACGTATTTACAAACCGATTATGGCATTTCTAGTTACATTTCTATTTACATTTAATATACAATGATGTATAAAAAAAAAGTTACACCTTTACATTAAATTTAGGCTTTCCCCAGTTTGCTTGACCATACACTTGCACGTTTTAGCCATAGCCATTTAGCTGTTCTTTCTGCTATCTCGGTAATGGTTTGGATAGCGTTTCGTTTTTTTGTTCCCACTATCCCAATGTCTGTTAAGGTGCTGACTAGTGATTTTGCCACAAAACCCCTTGTGCCTACTTCAATTGGTTTGCAGCTTGCCTTCCATCCATTATTCCTACAACTTTCCAATAATTCGTCGTATTTTAGTTTTTTCCTTTCACTAGCTTCTTCTGCATTATCCTCATAACAGACTGTTAGTTCCCACATGATGACTTTCTTTAGTTTATTTGAAAAAAGGACTAGGTCTGGACGCAATCGGGTCTTGGAAATGTGATCGTGGAAATTTAGCCTTTTACCTAAATCCACTCTGAGTTCTCAGTGTGTTGAACATGATAAACAGTTGGGTGCGGTCATTTTCTTTGGGTTCGGTTTCGCGCCAGCTTTAATAAAATTTATAAAATTCATGTTTGAATTTGGTTTGTTTGTATGGATGGCTGTGCTAACGACTTCTGCAATTTCTTTTAGTATTTGATCATGGCACCATCTATACCTACTGTCTACTAGGGCTGATTTGCAGTTGCTAAGTATGTGTTTTAAAGAACCTATTTGACCACATAGGGGGCATGAGGACGATTCTGATTTAGTCCATAATTGTAGGTTAACAGGGCTTGGTAGAAGGTCATAAACAGATCGGATCAAAAAGTTCATGCCCAATTCGTTACGCCATAGATCTGACCATCCAACTTTCCTAGGTATCATTGTCTCCCATTTTGTCCATGAACCTTGTTGTTTAAACCCAATCATCTTTGCTACTCTCATTTCCTCTTCCCCTGCACGAATTTCGTCCAGTAAGAGTTGGTGCTTTTCCTTACCTACGGCTTTGTCAATTCTAACAGTAGGAAAGAAACCCAGCCCTGCCTGACCCGTGGCGACAGTGCCTAGCACCACTTTTTCGTGAAGACGCTCTTCTGCCACTTTCAACTCCTTTACAGTGTTCCATTTCCTCCTAGTGTAAACCTCAATATTTGCTCCTGCCACATTTGGGTCCTTGGAGAACTTGTATTGTATTATTGTTTGCACCTTAGTGACTTTATATTCTTCTACAAGGCTTTTAAAGGGTAGTTGAAGAATGTTGGAATTACCGTAAAGGGTGGCGCTACTTAGACACTTTGGTAGACCTAGCCATCTCCGTAAACGGGAGTTGATGTTTTTTTCTATGTGTTCTACGGTAGAGGTAGTGAACTCATAGATGGACAAAGGCCACAATATTTTGGGAAGAATAACATGTTGGTAAATCCAAGCCTTGTATCATCTGGGTAAGCCAGACTTGTCTACTTTATTTAACCAGGCTTCAAGGTTATCCTTTGTTTCCTGGATTGCGACAGTCCTTCAGGGTATTGTCAAAATGCTTACCCAAGTTCTTGATTGGGTTTTGCTTTATAGTCGGGATATACTCGCCAGACAATTTAAAGCGACCCCTCTCTGAAGTTTTCCCTTTTTTCACCACTAATGACCTCGATTTGGCGGCGTTGAAACTCATTCTTGCCCATAAAATAAGTTTCTCCAAATCTTTTAGTAGCCACCTCGCACCAATCACAGACGAGGATGTTATAGTCATATTGTCCATGTATGACCTTATTGGCGGTTGCCGTTGACCAGATCTTGTTAAAGAACCTCTGCATTCTATTTCTGCCACTTTTATTAGCATATTCATGGCCAAGGAAAAGAGGGTAGCTGAGATGGTGCAGCCTGTAATAATGCCTTTTTTCCAATGTATGCCATGCAGATGTTGTATTTCCTGCTGCTGTTCTCATTTTGTAATTGTTATAATAATCTACTATGGTATCTATAATTTGGGGAGGAACGTGGTGGCGGTTTAACGATTCTTCTACCAATTTGTGTGGGATAGAGCCATAGGCATTCTTAAGATCCAGCCACAGAAAAGCCATATCGCCCTTATGTGCTCTCACGTCTTTTAGCAGCTGTGATGACACCTGTCTGTTCTATGCCCTGGTATGCCTGGAATGCCTCCTTTTTGAACAGAGGTGTCGATATACTTGTTCTTTAAGAGGAAATCTGTCAGCGTCGATTCATAATGGTAAAAATATTTTTCCTTCCACGCTCAATAGGAGATGTACCTAAATTGGTTTACTGTACTTGCTCCTTCCCTTTTAGGGATCCATATTCCTTCTGAGCACCTCCATTGTACAGCTATCTTCCTCTTCTCCAAACAATTTTTTAACAACCTCCATAACATATGGAGCAACAATGGGCAACGTTTATAAACTAAGTAAGGGACTCTGTTAGGTCCAGGGGCTGATCCCGATCTGGCTGTTTTTAATATTGTTTGAACTTCTTTTAATGTTGGTTCTTTTAAGTCAAAAGGGTATGAAGGCAAATTAGGAGTGATTAGAGAGGAGTTTTCGCCTCGCTGTATATGGTTTATTTGGGTCACTCAGAGTCATTTTAAGGAAGTCATTTATTTCGTCAGGGGTAAATGTTAACCTTCCATTTCGTTTGTCGCCTAATAATTTCTTAGTGAAACCGTATGGATTAGAGACCAAAGCTAATCGTTTGCGCGCCCTTTCCTTCCTTCTGTTCCTGTGTCATTCTGCTCTCTGTAAAGATTTCATTTTGGAACGGATGATGTCACGGAGTTCTTGCAGCGGTCCCTTTTCTTCCGGTTTTGCTTTTTTATATTGCTTTCGGATAGCTCTTAATTCCACTCTGCATTGTTTGATTTTACTTTCCCTTCGATTTTCTGAAGTTTTTTTCTTTCGTATCCGAAAGGCTCTGAAGCGTAGCTAACTATGATTTTCGACATAGTACTTAAACAGGTACCTACCGAGCCTTTTGAAATTGTCTTTAGTATTTCACTGATGTCTAAATCGAAGTCGTGCCAAGCTTTTTTGTCTACGGCCGCAGGCCATTTGATCTTTTTCCGAAATGTCTCAGATGGTAATTCTGGGGATACTTGTGCCTCTGCTTGGAAGAACTGGGCTCAATACAAATGCTGTGTCAATATATTAACGCTGGTTTGCAAACGTTGTTAACAGGCAAACCATTAGAAAACATCACAGATGTGGAGAATTTGATTGTTCAGACGGGAGGCAAGCAATGTACTTACCTGGGTGGTTGTTTCTTACTAACTGAAAGTGGCTACGTTTTTACTAACTTTTTCTAGTTACAGGAGTCACATGACTTTATTACCACGTGATAATAAGATAGATCACTCTTTGGTTTCATCTGCCATATTTTTGTTCTTATGAACCCAGGAATAGACTGTTTCAATGGTGATGAATCCGAACATTACCCCAAACTATCTTGGCATCATATAATCATCCTCATGATAGAGTGTACTGTGAAAAGTAAGCAAACAGGTTTGCCGATTTAATTCAGTTTCTCGATGACTGATGTCTGTCTTATGAGAGAAGTCCCTGACAATGGCAGAAAAGCAATGTAAATTTTGAGAGAACACTGCTTATCAAAAGTAGAAAATTCTTTCATGTTGGTCGTTTGATTGATTTATTTTGTTTAACAGCATATAAACCTCTAGAGGTTATTTAATACTAAAATCTAAATATATTTTGGATGCAATTTTATGCCTTCAACTATAGATAAAATGTATTTTTTATCATTCTACTATAAATATATATCATTGGTAATTTTTACTATAAATAGGTATTGTTGGTAAAAATGTATTTTTATACTTTCATGCTTTTGTTTTTAGGGGGTCACTATTTGCCCATAGCTGGGACCCTAACAGGTGCTACTACCTGGGTCAAGTTGAATAGTTGCAATTAAGTGGTGGTTCCATGTTCCTCAAAACCTCCAATTTTCTGATCAGAGGCATTGCTGTCAGATGTGGTTTATTTTCATACCCAAGACTATTAATGGTAACTAACAAAAACATAGAAGCATAGATGATATTGGGTAAAACTTCAAATATCTGAAGTAACACTAAACAAGTTAAACTAGTTTCAAAACTCCTAGACTATACATATTTTCTCATATAAACCTTTTCCTTAATCTATTAGAAGATTCAGGTCAGCCCTAAGCTCTGTAGGACATGGGGAGTAATAGGCATTACTCAGTCATACTGGCCTATGACAGGAGGATTGAATTTAGAATTGTACTTCTTGGTTGCTGTACTAATGCTAAAGAACTCAATATACCCTATGATTTTGTCACTAGTTACAGAGAAAGATAGAGTCATGCTTTTCACAATAGCATTAGTATGAAGAGAATATAATCAGAACTCCAACCAGAATTTGAACTCAGTCCACACATTCCATATTCCATGCTAATAATCATTATACCACACCAGTGTGTATAGAATACTATAGTTTATCTTTAGTGATTACTATAGTTAATAAATAGCTATTGCAAGTGAAATCAGTAGTTATTCAGTTATTTTGCCTATTGGTAGAAACTAACATAGTAAGAAAATAGCCTGAAATATGATATATGAGTGATGATGATGATGATGATGATGAACAGTATGCTGAACTGATATGTTTAATTCCCTTGTTCACTATTCAATTATTTTTACCTTGCATAATAATACACAATGGTAGCCAAGTTACAATCTTAGTCATGGCTAAATTTATCATTCTTTTGTTTTCTAGTTTTAATTGATTAGTGACAACATATCAAGAAGTTCCAACTAACATTGTTTGAACATAACCAAATCTTTTATATAATTTCCCCCTTTTTAATTCTATAATTATTCTGTCATCATTACCTCTTATAATTGAAATTCAAAGAAAATACAAAATTACCTTGAAATATTCAACAAGTTCTCGACAAGAAACTTGAGATCCATTAATTTCTTTCACAACAAGTTTCTCAGGTGCCAATAAATGTTCAACTAAAATTTGAAGCTGCTGCCTAAAATCAGGCTCAATATCTGAAATGAAAGATAAACATAAGATAAATTTCAAGAATTGAGTTCTGTTATATTTATTTACTTAATGGAGCAAATTCTTGTGTTCTTTTCTTTAAAAGATGATTCTATGCCAGATTCTGTATATGTTACATTTTAGCATGTAACTAAATACATGTTTATACAATTTTGTATTTACATGAATTCTACCAGTTGTCCTTGGTAAAATTATCATAGGAATATTTTCTTTGAAAATTAGTGCATTTTGTTTTTGATTAGAAGTTAATGGATTTGTAAATCTATATAGAATTATTCCATATATTTTTCAAACTACTATCTTCCTTTTGAGTGTTTCACACACACTTTCTACATCTATTCAGGTATATATGACATTAAATGTGCTTAACTATGTTTTTCTTTTCTTCTTTTACCTCTCTTCAACTAGAACATGAAGCCATAACTTTTAGTCCAGTGATTCAGTCTCTAAAAGACTTGTATTCTAGTTGTGTATCACAATACTGAATGTTATGGTTTCATGTTAATATGAGACTGAAACTGAAAAACTTTGTTTATTCTTATGAAGGAAATTAACTTTTTTTTATTGTGCCCTATTATAGAATGAGTTAATGAGTTCATAGTGCCATAGTCAAAGTATTTCAAATAGTCTTATATTCAATATTGTTATAGGAGATCATAACTGCTAAAATTAGTTTTTCTATGTATTGATTTCCATATGGTGTTTAAATATATAATTAATTTTTTTAAAGTATGGGACTGAGAAAGAAAACTAAAAAGTTCTTGGTTCAAACCATTTCCCAAAATCAGTATTTCAATGACCAAATATCAAAATACTGATTTTTCAATTAGGACCTAAGATCTTTTCAACACTCCTTTGAACACACAACAGAGGACATCATAGAGATAATTCTCATAATAAGACAATGTGGTCTATACAAAATCGGGATGGTATTTCAAAAGCAGATCAACCCTTTAGAAGATAGCTGTTTTACATGTGTAAAGAAGGTTAAGGTTCCATTCTTTGATGTTTCAGTATACAAAACAGATTCTATGTTTGTAACATTGGTGTACTGTAATCCACTTTACGGAGTATATACACACCAGGACCCGTTTTGTTCTAAACAGTGCACGATAAAATTAAGGACTTGGTCCATCATTCCGTAATTATTATTATTTTTTTTTATCTAGATACTATCTCTAGGAAGGTTGTCTAATAAGGTTCTATATCCCTTTCAGGACATGGAGAAAATACTAAATTACTTCTCTGAAGGTTACAAGTACAAGAGTAAAGTTAAAATTAAAGTTTAAAGTTTTAACACTGTCAAACAAACAAAAAAAGAGAAAATTAAGAATCTCATTAATTTCTATTTTCATTAAAAAACTAACTTTCATGGAAAATGAAGTCTGATTTTGACAAGGTACAATATTAAGCCTTAGGAGTGTGTGTGTACATTATATATATATATATAAATATAAATATATATATATATTTACACACATAAATATAAATATATATATATATTTACACACGCTCTATCTCTGATATTGAGCACTTTATCCCATAAATATAGCACACCTTAAGACTATATTTCTTTATATATATATATATATATATATATACACACACACACACACACATATATATATATATTTATATTACTGGTGAGTGAATGATTTATTTATATTTAAAAGCAAAATACAACAACAATGAAAAAGGAGGTGTATAAGGTTTATGAGTTTTACTCTGATCAACCACTCAAATATGACCTATGTTAAATTTAAACTAAGTGAAGAAACAAAAATTATTTTTCACAAATAAGACATGACTCATAGATTGGCAGCTAATGGCAGCCAGATATAAACCAGCATGGATGTAAATGGATACATAAATTATACAAACTAGACAATGCCATTTCGTAAGAAATAAAAATGGTGTGGAGAGGTAATTTAACAAAATGCTAAATAAGTTACATGTTTTGTGAGATACCAACATTATAATTTTTCATAGTTGATAAATAAATAAATAAATAGCTTCTTTAGGAAACTAGTAAATAATTTAAATATATAGAATTATTTGGTAAATTAATATGCAACTGTTGAATAAAGATTCTTCATATAAGATGATAGCAATAACCAATCCATGTAAAATGTCAAAAATACCAACCAAATACCAATACATCCATACAAGATATTACTAATACTACCAGATTAATACAAAATTATATTAAATCCAAATTAATCTTACAAATAGAAAGATAAGACATATATGTTGCAATGCAGTACAGCTAAAATATAAGAAAAAGCATAATCAAATTCCAAAGTTTAACTAAATTTTAAGGTAGGAGGTAAACTATGTTTACAATTTACAGTTAATACACTTCTTTGATTTAACAATGAATTTTTGTCAAAAAATCTGATGATTTTGAGTTTTTCATGTAAACACAGAAAATAGGGTTCATATAAAGATCTACAGGTCCTTGCTGTTTTTTAAATTTTCCATATCATCATAAGAGTCTTAACATTATTTTTTAAGCTCCAAAAATATTTAGAAAGCGATGTGTTATTTCTGTAAGCACTATTGAAGATTGATACCACCTAATCTTGGAAGAATTCTTAGTACTACCAATATAAAATTTTTCAACTGTTGGATTCTTTATTATAGAGATAAATCAAAGATAAACAAGAGATTTAATTAAACATTTGTTTGGCAATGGGCATTGGTCAGAATTCCTACAATTACATTAGCCAGTATCAGTAATAATATTTTCCTTGGAATGTGTAATATGATCCAGATTATTAAATAGGTTTAAAATTTTATTATTGAGTTGAAGGCCCTGTCACAGTCGGAAATCTGGAAAGTGCGGAAGCAGGTTGGTGGGGATATATCTCCAGGATTAGATGGTCTACCCTAGGAACTGTACTTAAGGCAGTTGCCCATTTTTGTTCTTTTGCTGGCACTGATTTTCAATAACTGATTGAAGCAGGGGTCTATGCCTCAACACTTGACCAGGGGTGTGATCAAGTTGCTTTGCAAGGACAAAAATGGTGGGGATAGGACAGGTAACTTTCAGCTTTTAACTATGTTAAATACAGAGTTAAAGATTTTACCTGATCTCTTGTGCTGTGAAAAGCAGGACTATTCAGGACAACCTTGATATGGTATACACTTGATCATTTAGCAAGTTGACAGTGAAACTACGCTGATCAATTTAGACCAGTCCAAGGCTTTCGATCAGGTGAACAATCAATTTTTGGAAGGCTCTCCTTTTGGTGGCCGGTTTTAAGACATACATGGATCCAACTTCTGTATGCATCTCTTGGTGCACTGGTGGAAGTGAAAGGGGTTTGATTGGAGCCTTTTGTATTGTCTTTCTCCATTAGTCAAGGTTGTTCGCTTTTGACTTTGCTTTATGTTCTTGCATTGGAACATTTCCTTCACAAGTTAATGAATCCGGTCTTACATAGAATTTCTCTACCTGGTGCTACCATCTAAGCTAGGCATTATGCCTATGATGACGATGTTTCAGTTCTTGTGCTGAGCAGATTGACAAAGTCAGCAAAGAAATCAGAGGGTATGAGATGGTGACAGGGAGCCAAGATCAACCATGTTGACTTGCAGTTGGGTACATGGAAGGGAGTTTCTCTTACCAGATCTTTCCTCTGGAAGGAATGGACCAATCAAAATACTCAGTGTCTGGTTTGGTCCCAACCTCTTGCTGGAAATGAATTGGTCAGAGGTGCAGGAGAAAGCCAAGGTTGCAGCCTGATTGTGGTCCTGGAGGAATCTTTCCTTAAAGGGGAGGGCGGAAGTATATGCACATCTACCTGCTTCTTCTTTATCGACTATGTACTTCCACTTCCATCTACCACACTAATTTCATTAGTAAGGCTCTTGTTCTTGCTGGGAGGCAAGTCCACTAAGGTACCCTGGAGATCTGTTACTTCCACTTTTCTGAAGGTGGTCTGTGTATGCCTAGTGTTGAGACTCGTCATCATATACTTCACATCGCATTCCTAGATCAAATGTGTCACGATTCAGATGAGGTGGGCGAATTCTGGAAGGAAGATGTCTGTAGAATTTCCCATCCCTGAAAAGTGTGCACTCATGCATGGAGGAGATCCTCCTTGTTTACCCGAATGTTGTATTGCTGTGAAACTCCTCTTACGAGTGTCAGATGAACTCTCCAACGTCTAATCATTGTCTTGAAGGGCATTATATCATATGGTATGAGATGATCTGACAGACAAGCTCGGTCTTACAAAGCAGGAGGCTTGCTGAATATGGCCTTGGGTGCCTGGGTTGAAATGCCTCAATAATAATGAGGCATCACTCACCTGGCGGGTAATTTGTAGGGTAACCTCTGGGTCATCAAAAGACTTTGTTCAGCAGGTATTTAAAAATATCTCCAAACTGTGTTTGCTGTGATGTGGAGGTGGAGACCCTAGGTCATACCTTCTTTCATTGCAGCATTGTAGTCCTGTTGTGCAAGTTTGTTGAAGGCATCATGGTTAATATCCTCAATGCCAGTTCTGCCTGTAGTAATGTGGTACCTCCAGCTTGCTAGGTGTCATGAAAGTCATGACACATCAGAAGGGATTCTATCGGGGTGAGCAGTTTGCCTTTTCCCAACTAATCTTGTTCTTTAACAGCCAGCTTAAAATCAAAATTAGGATGGAAAGGTGGTGGCTTCCTCCATCAGAATTTAGTAAAAGGTGGGTAAATCTTGTACATTTGTGTTGAGTAAGAGGAGCCGATTTAGACTGGCACTTTGATGCTGGTTAGGCATTAGAAGATTGCACTGTTGAACATGGGTAACTCTGCCTGAAATTAGTTTAGGGTTGTTTTTTGTATTTTAGTTTCTTCCTTGAAGTTAACTAGTGGATTTATGCTCATTGGCCCCCTTTTATTTCTGTTCCCACTTTCTTTAGTTTAATTCCCCCTCCTCTCCTACGTTAGATGTCCAGAGACATCAGTTCTCTGGTGGATGCAAGACACCTTTTGTTTT